GAGGCGAGTGAAGAATTTCCATCTTTATTATTATTTATTATTATTTACTATTATTTATATTTCTTTTTCGTTGCTGTTATCTGATGTCTGTTGTTGTTGCGTTTTTGCGTTTGGCTTGAATGCTCTCTCCGCCTCTCCGCAACCCCTGCTGAAGCAGGCGACAGACACACGCACACAGACTAAGAAGAAGTAAATAAAAGGCTCGTTTGGAAGAAAAGCGAAATCGAATCAAAACGCCAGTGGTAGTTAACAAACACCGAAATGTTACCTTTTGCTGGAGACTCGAAGCCTTTTGGAGACAAAGTAGGATTTTGAGAGCTCCGGTCTGAATCAGGTGCTATGACGACGATAATTTGTTGCTTGTGGGGAAAGTTTCTTTCTCTATTTTATGGGGCATTGTACGTGTCTCCGTGTCGTTTTTATTCCTCGTGTCTTTTGCCACGGTGCCTATCCAGTGCGACCGGGGATGCCGTTAATGCGCAAAGGGTTGCCGAGGGTGGCCCATTGATGGTTACACTGTCGCTCATTTCGCTTGACGCGTATCTGCATGTATGCATTTACGGCTGTGATTGTTTCCTCACATTTCTGTTTTTTTTTCTTGATTTCGCGCCTGTCGTTTGCAGACCTGTCAAGGCGGCATTGCGGAGATGTCAAAGGCAGTGCCTCTTCCGGGCATCACATTTGCCGGCACTTCCTACGCGCGCAGCGAGAGGGTGTTTGAGCCTCTGCCGAGGAATGACGCCAGGCGGGTCCGGCATCGTGAGGTGGTCCGCTTTAGGAGCGCGCCTCAAGCACCGGCGCGGCCCCGTTGGAATATGTCTGTGTTGGATGAGGCCCATCCGTTTCCCGAGCGCCCCATAATGCACTCCCTGCAGCGGTTTGAGGGCGTCGAGGTGTCCACCAGGGGGTTTCCCCAGACAGTTCGTGGCACGAAGCACCTTGAAAACAAATTTCGGCCACCGCTCTGGACGGGCCGGGAGAGAAACAGTTCTGCGACGAATGTGGACCAGCGGCAGCGGCAGCGGGCCAGTTTTCTTTCCCGCGTCATTGCCTCGGACTTCTCTGAAGGCAAAAAGAAGATGCGACAGGGGTGGGACGTGTCGACGATGCGTTGGAGCTTTGCGGGAAATGTAGGTGAAGCGGAGGAGGGCCGAAGGAGCTACGTGGAGATGAACAAGAGGAAGGGGAGCTTCTGGAACCTGGAGTCGTACCGCAACCCTGTCACTCGGGTGAAAGAAATGAATGAGAGTATTCGAGAGGCGAAGCGAAATGGACGAATGCGAAGGGAAGAGGCCTCCTTACCGCCGCTGGATGCTCGTGGTGCCCCGGCAGTGTTTAAGATGAGCAACATCGATGAGTGGTGGCATTTGGACCCCACACTCACAGCAGCAAGCACAACAGCAGCGCCTACTGTGGATGTATAGAAGGGATCACATCGCCGTGGAGGGAGTCGGACAATTTTCTTCGGCTCCTTACGTTTGTGTGTTCTACCTTTTTTCTTTTGTTGTGTTGACATTGGGAGAGGGGAGCGAGTGGGCCAGCAGCCACCCGCTCGTCTCCCCAAGGACGATGTGTTTAGTTAACGATGTTTCCGTTGCGCCCCGTCAGTCGTGTAACTCTCTGCTTCTGCCTCCATGCACGCACGCGCGCACACATACACGCTGGGTGTGTATGTGTATTTATATCTCCCTTTTTCGTTTTTGCGTCTTTTCGTTGGAGCTGAAAGTGAAAGCGAGGGAGCGGGGGAAACAACAAGGGCGAAATACGCCGAAAGAGAAGGAGCAGCAAAGAAAAAAAAGGAGGCGCAGAGGTCCACGCCAATGACGGATGCCCTGATTAACCCGAAGGAGTTCCAGGAACTCATTGGTGTCCTCATGAAGGAAAAGTATGCCCATGAGCAATGCGTCGCAGACAGGGACTTGAGCCGGCATCGCCAGCGCACGGAGAGAAGCCGCTCCGCATCACAAACGCCAGACAAGCGCCGGTCTTTCAGCAACGCCAGCCTTGGCAGTCGCGCTGCCAATCGGCGTAACGGCAGCGTGAGGTTGAGCCGCCGGCCACCGTGCGTCCCGCCAAGCGGGGGAACTCCCAACGCGGCCGCGGAGGCTTCCCCGCGGAGTGGACCCAACAATAGCCATGCCTCCTCCGATGTCCCTTCGCAGCACGGCGGTCCCAGTAATGCCTCCAACAAGGAAAGGGCGGAACCTGTCAAGGTGCGTGTACCGGAGTCCTTTGCACCTCAACTGCTGTCTAATGATTCTCATCCGAGCACGGAATCAGCTACGGAGCAGCCTAAACCGTCGTTCTTACAGGGCGAGGAAGGAAAGGTGGGCCCGGGGGCGCCTCTCGTTGAGAGTTCTCAGAAGCGACGCAACATCATCCAAAGCCCCTCACCTGATCACGATGACACCCTTCCAGTAACAAGGTGTGTTGGAAAGCACGAACCACAACTCTTGCAATCCCCTCGTCCATTGGAGGAAGCTTCACGATGTGCATTGCTTGAAGCCAAACTGCGAGACATGCAAGAGACTGTGAACAAGCTCACATGTGACATTATGCTTCTTGCGGTCAAGCAGGCAAACAGTGACGGTATGGTGCAAGCAGAGGATTCCGCGTCGCAGATTCCTGGTAATTTGAAGGAGTTGGGTGCTTCGACAGAGGAAAAATTCCTTACTGTCGTTATTGCGCTAGCCAAACGGGTACGTCGCCTGGAAGAAAAATTGGAGGCATCAATGCAGCAAGTACGGGTGTTGGAAGCCGCCGCCATTGAACGGGATATGAAGTTAAACCGTACCAAGGTGGGACGTGATGAACTGGAAGGTGTCGTCAAGGCGTTGTCAAACACGTGCGTGGATCTTCCAAATGGACTCAAGAATTTGTATCGAATTTGGGGATTGGACCAAAGGCGTGTGCAACACGCCCTTGAATCATCTAATCCAGCTTCTTGTGTGGACCTTCTTTTGGGTACACCACCGTTTACTCGCGTTTTACGTCTTATGATGGACAAAAACGCCGAGATACTGAGCGCGCTGCATGGTCAACAAGCTCACAGCCTTGCAGCGGAAGGCCATGCCTACGATGACTCTAAAATGCCCCCCAGCCGCCACGATGGCGATTTTTTGACGGCAGTACAAAATAATCCCATACCTCTCCATGAGCAGTTGCTGGGGATATACTTGACGGATGAAGAGGGCTTGCAAGGGGTACGAGTGATATCTGTCCCTGTTGCCTCCCCGGCAGCGCGGGCTTTGAGGAATGGGGACGTGATTGTTCAGGTCAACCATGTCACAGTACATTCTGTGGCCGACGTGTCGTATGTGCTTTCCCGCGCGCGCCCCTCCGCCCCCGTCGCGTTGTCAATTCTGATGCACAACAAGCCTTATGCGAAGGTGGTGGAAGTCCTGCCGGTGGAGCTTTTCTGAATGAGAGGCTTGAGGGGACGACCCAGCGCCTTTTAGCTTATCGCAGTCGCTAAAGTTTTTTGGAGCTCCCCCCGGGTTCTGCCTCCCGCATTTGCACATGAAGAGTACTTCTCCGAGATGGCGTGGCAGCTAAATGTTTTTTTTTCTCGTGTGTGTGTGCTCCTCCTCCCCCTCCCTCATTTATGCACTTCGTCTTTGTATGGGGAGTGCATATTCTTCTATGTTTTATTCTATCGTTATGATCAAAGCCATATTTGTTTATTAATTACGTCTATTTTTCTTTTCCTCAATTTTTGTATGCTTTATTTCCTTGCTTTGCCTTGACATGCGTGTCTCCTTTTTCCTCCCGTGGTCTACTGCGGTCCCGGTCGTTGGATTCAACTTCTCGGCTGGCAGCGCTGCATGTGCCGCCGCCACACGAGTCCATCTTCACCTCCGCCACCAATAGGGGAGCCGGTTTCCTCTCTTAATTGTTGCTGGCGGCGCCAAAAAAAAAAAATTCTTTTTCTTCCCTTCTTGCTGCCAGATCTCAAGGCGTTGAAAGAAAAAAGAGACGACACAGAAAGAGGAAGGTGTGGGTGTGCTGGCATACTAGCGAAATAGTAATAAAAAAAGAGGGCGAGAGTGGACAAACTGCTCGGATAATTTCAATGACAGTCCTTTACGCCTCCAAGGCGAAGTCTACGCGTTTTAAGGCGGTGGTGGAGAGAGCGAGGCGGCTTCTGCTTGCCGGGGCATCGGGAGCTAATGCGATTCGCGTACTTAGCCGCAGCCTTGGCATAGCAGTGGATGCTGGCGGGAAGCTTGTGGAGAAAGCCACCTTTGTAGAATGCCTGGAGCAAAGTGGAGTTCCATTAGACGAGAAGGATGTGGAGGCGGTAATGTCTGTCTTAGATAGGAAGGGCGATGGCACACTGGACCCGGTAGATTTTATTGCTGCCTTGCGCAGGGATCTCACCCCAGTGAAGTCTGCGTGGATCACGCGGGTGTGGTACCAATTTAAGCAGAACGCAGATGGGACGATCCGCATTGACGATCTGGTGAATGCGTTTAATGCTGCGGGAGATCCCGCGGTTGTGCGTGGCGAGCGCAGCGAGGAAGAGGTGCGTGAGGAATTTCAAGCAACATTCAACACCACCACGAATCCTGAAGGTGTCTTAACGCGGCAGGAGTTTGAGGAGTACTACTCATGTGTGGCAGGGTCTTGCCTTGACGACGCTTCGTTCCTGACGCTCGTGCGGGGTGTGTGGCCTGCGCTTGCAGGGAATGCGGGTGGACCCATTGAAGTGGCCTCTAATAAAGAAAACATATGTGGCGCCACCTTTACGGCCTCGCAAACGGCCCTTGAGAAAGGTGACGTCAACAGGGTGAGGCAAAATGCCGCAGACCTTGACGCGCTTATTCGTACTAAACACCGTCCTGCTGTCATGGCTAAACCGCTTGCCGCCCGACAACTTTCGCTTCATTTGCGCGAAAAGGATGCAGAGCGAACATTTTTTCTCACAAGCGGCGCCTTCACAGAGGCATTGTGGCAGCAACGACTCTACATTCCAAGACCGGATGAACTTTTGCCGGTTTTGGACACAAAAGGAGAAGGCTCGGTTGATTACCTGCTCTACCTGACGTTGCTTCTCCCACCTCTACCCCCAGCCCGTAGAATGATGCTTGAGCGACTGTGGGAATTGTTTCCAAAAGACACATGCGGTACTATTGATGCCTTGGAGTTGCACCGGCGATTCCAAGCAAAAGATGGTGAGGAGAAGAATGCGTTTCTCAGCGCATGGGATGTTCGCCGCGCCATTCGACGGCGCCTCACGCTGGAGGAACTTGTCGAGTGGTACGTCCCCATAAGCGATAAGATTCAGTTGGATAATGACTTCGCTGTGTTGCTGGAGCGACAGTGGGGTTTGGTGTAGCCGCGGTTGGCGCGGAAAAGTAGACATGTAAAAAGGTACGCGTATCTGCGCAGTGATGTATGAGAGAAGAGGATGTGATGTTTTTTGACATTTCTTCTTCAGATGTAGAGCGCCAACGTTTTTCCCGTTTCCTTCTTTTTGTGTGGGCGGTGGGAGGAAATCACCCATTTCATTGTGTCTCATTTGTGGCAGCAGGGGGAAAATGCCGTGCAGAATGGGAAAAGTGAAGTAGTAACCGACGAGGCACGTTAACAAAAACAACGAAAATAAGCAAAAAAAAACTGATTTTAAGCTGCTCTATTATTCTTGATATTGCTTTTTTTTTTTTTCGGTAGGAGAGAGAGAGGTGGGGGGGGGGTCTTTTCTCGCTTAGTGCAGTACTTTTTATGCAGTGTGCCTCCATCGCAGCCCTGCAGTTAGCTCGCGCTCTCACATACGTCCACATCGGTGCAGGGGAGCGTGGGACAGAGAGGGAAGTATGGGTGCGGCGAAATTGTGACACACAACGACACACCGAGGGGAAAACAAGGTAAGAGGTTAAACATGCATCAGGGAGTGCAGTCTCTCGCGTTGTCCATGGTAATCCTTCTTCTGATTGTGCATGCTGGGCTGTACTTGGGATACGTGTGGGGAGTAGCTACGCCCTGTCAGTTCTTAGCCGTTGCTCTGCCGCTACTCCCTGCAGCAGTTTGGCGTTCCGTTGGGTAGGCGTAGGGATCTAAGAAGGCATATGAGGGAATGACGTCCGATGTCACGCGCTTCCTCAGTGCTTTTCGTCTAGCTGCCGTTGACTATTTTCTTTGGCAGCTGGAGATGCAGACGCTGTTTCTTCTTGTGCCGCTGTACAAAGTGATTTCGACACCTGAAGTGGGTTCGTTCTGCGGTGGGTGTTTGGATGCCCAGTCGAGGCTGCAGTGACTCGCCTGCCAATTCCTCCAGGCCGCCCAAAATTAGCTTGAGGCCTGATAACAATCTGCGGAGGAGCTGCGTCGTAGTGGACGAGGGGTCCCATTTTAATCGGGTCGACCGGGGCTGTTTGTTTTGAATGAGACGGATGTTGGGAGTTTGCATGGCCCGGGGTGCGTTGCAGAGCCTACATACGTGGAAGGCGCAAACGCAAGTCAAGGCTATTTTCCTTCTGGTTGGCAGGCTAGATTGAACGGAGGATTTCTTTGCCGTTGTCTTGTTTTGGCTGCTGCCACTGTTTGTTTGCTTGCTTGCTTTGAAATGTATTTCCCTGCACGCCACGTCGCTTTAGGCTGTGCGGGTACGTGCTTCTTTTTCTCTCATACGTCTCTGCCTGTTTGGGGCTTATCGTCCGCACCCTATACGCAGGCCGCCACACCACCTCCTCCTCCCCCCGCCCTCCCCCCACACACGCACACATACACATATACGTACTTACGGTGAGCTCCATGGATTTAGAACCGCTCCCGATTGATGGCGAGGCCAGCCGCGCTCGTCAGAGCGAATATGTGGATATGACTCTCCTTCATCTCCGCATGAAGTTGCGTGACATGGGCATTGAATTCGAAGAGGCGGAGCTCGCAACGGCGCCCACACATTTTGCAGAACGATTATTGAACTACCTCCACGCATTCGAGGAGCGGGAGTCCGCATTGCGAGAAGCGACGACGGAGCACCAGACACAGCTGAAGCAGGAACGCAAAAGACTGGAGACGCTGCAGGAGGCCACAGAAAAAGTGAGAAGTGAGGTGGCGATATTATCCGGTCGAATCAGCTCCGCACTAAGCAACTACCGCAGCGAGGAAAAACTAGAGGCGCAGCGCCGGCGGGAGCGACAGCGAGACGTGCAAGATACTGTGCGCCAAATCGAGAAGAAGGAGCTCGAGCTCAGGCGAGAGACCATGGAGCATGACCGGTTAGGTAAAATGTTACAGAAAGTCCAAAAGTGAGTAACGTCGGAGGCGCCTGGCGGTAGTCACACTAGAAGTTTGCCTGTGTTTATTGGGATGCAGCTGTTTTTACTATTGTTATTGTGGGGAGAGAGCGAGTTCGCTGCTTTTTTTGTTTTCTCCTTCTCTCTCTGTGTGTGTTTACCTCTCTGCACTGAACGCAGGAGAGGAGGGACTCACGCCCACACCATCATACTGTCGGTTTTAGATGTCGAAGGAATAAGTAGAGATGGAAAAGGATGTCGACGCGGACGCGTTTAGTGGGTGGGCGTGTGCCACTTGCAAACGACGCATCCCGGGTGTGCCCCACATTCTTTTTTTATTGTTGTTTCGTTTCTTTTCTTTCTCTGTATGCGGGGGTTGTTTGCACCTGAAGGATCGCTGGAGGCGAGATCGGGAAGGGTGGACGAAAGAACTGAGAAAGGCATCGAAAGCGGGGCGGGTAACGACAGGGAGTCCTGGTTGCTAGATTGAGAAGTAAGACAAGGACACCAATGGCGTTGTCGAAGCAAGACCCACGTATTGCCTTTTACTGTGAGGGTCGTGACGACATCTCGCAGCTTGTCCGGCGCTATGTATTGTATTTCTTTTACGATGATCATTCTATTGAGATGAGGGAGCTGCCCAAGAATGTGCTGCATCTCAGGCGTACCCCGTTCCCACAGCTGCAGAAGGATGACTTCAGTCTTGGTGCGGCTCTGACAATACTTGGAGGAATTGTAAAAATTACCGGCTACGCTGATGAAGTGACACGGGTCTTGTGTGAAAAGAAAAGCGAGTTTACAGTGGTACTCTTGGCAGACACTCTTTTCTCGCAGCTGGGTCATTACTTGGCAATACTGACGGAAGAGTGCGGTTTCACTATTTCCTCATTGCAAATGACCTGGCTAAGTGAAGACGCCCCCGAAAAGTATAGTTTACCTGAAGGACTCACAGGTGGTCGCGTTGTTGTGGCATGGTGCGTGCGTGCCGAAGCGATTCAAAAAGGCTTAGATTATGTAAAGCGGGTAACTGGAGCCTTTGCGGCGAGGGATGAGGGAGAGGCCAAGAAATGGGCTCAGTTAGCAGAAGAAGCGGGTCGAAAGCCAGTCGCCATATTTGGTGATCCTCGCTGCTCCGTCGTCATTGTTAAACCGCATGCTGTACGAAGCCGCAACGCTGGCAGCATTCTGCAACAGCTGCTTGATACGGGACTTGAGCTGACGGCGTTAATGCTTGCCAACCTTTCCTCCCGTGTAGTGGATGGCTTCCTTGCGCCCTACAAGGATGTGCTTCCTGATTTTTCTGAAACGGCTAGAGCCCTGGCTGGCCAGGTTTGGATTATTCAGCTGGTCTCGCTGGAAGACGATGCCGACGTCGTATCTCAGGTTCGCGAAGTCTGCGGCCCTTTTGATCCAATTATCGCAAGGAAGTTGCGGCCGAGGTCTATCCGCGCAGTATTTGGTGCGGATCGTGCGTACAATGCGGTGCATTGTTGCGACCTGCCTGAAGAAGGACCAATTTATACGAACTTCTTTTTTGGCGCAAGAGGTGCATAGGTGCGCAAAACCCGTCGAACGCTGCTAGAAGATGGCCTCACCCATTGCATGTATCGAAATTAAATGGGGTGAAATGAAGAATACCATTTTTAGTTGATATGAGGCGATCTGTGCCCCCTTAAAGATGTTGTATATGTTACCATGGAGGCACACCTTGGTAACATTTTGTTTTCCTGTGTTTTTTTTTTTGGAGAGGGACGGGGGTTTAGCCTTTTACTCCACGCAACTTAGTTACTGGTTGTTAAAGGGAGGGGGAATCTCGCGACACTGTGTTGTTGGCGACGTGGAAAGCTGGACGTTATCTTTCTTACCCCATCGTCACCTACGCCATTATTATTTTTTTTTATTTTGTTTCTTTGTTTGTTGTTGTTGTTGGTACCATCTATAAATATAAATATAAATATATATTGTTATTGTTATTGCTATTTGCCTTGTTCTTGGGCCTCACTGCCCAACTGCCCATAATGAATCTGTGTCGGGTGCTGCCATGGGCTCTGCTTCTTCTTGTCGTTCTTGTCCTCAGCGGGTGGTGGCGAGGGGCAAAAATGAGTGTTCGAGAGGCGATTGGTGAAAAGGATTTTCTGCTGCGCAGAACGCCCGCCAATCCAAAGTATGAGAATGTCAAGGCGGTTGTGGAGTCTGGGCTGACGCTGGAGGTGGCACGGCTCATGAAGCGGGCAGGGCCTAACATTCGGCGTCATACTGGAGAGTCCTTTCTGCGTATGCGGCCCAACGTGCTGGCGGAGTACATTTTACGACTTAAAAAGCAGGAAGAGGCGAAAAACGGGCGTGAGAGCGACGGTGGATTTGCCTACCCGATGGACGAGTACAAGCCATCGAATGCAAAGCCGGAGAAGGAGTACCTCATCCTCGATGTCCGCTCCGAGGAGGAATACAAAGCGTGCCACATCGAGGGTGCACTGCACTACCCAAAGCGAAGAATGGTGCACGCCATCAACCCGCTTCTCCCGGAGATGTTTGAATTTAAAAATAAGGAAAACAAGTACATTGTGGTGTATGATATAGAAGAGGAATTGACGGTGGGACAAAGCGTGGCGATGATCCTTTTTGAAAAAGGCATTGACAACGTGGTGGTGCTAACGGGGGGACTGCGAGAGTTTGTACAGGACTATGCCTCCCTCATCGTGGGGCAGAGCCCTGTACCGATAATCCCTAGGGACACCCGGCTGCAAAAACGGGCAGAGGCGCTATCAACAGCGCGAAGTGAAACCCAGCGGAGTGTGTTGTCACATAAGCCAAAGAGTTTGTCGAATAGTCTTGCCAAGCCGCGACGGTAGTGACGAGAAGTGCTTAGTGAGAGACACTCCTTGGAAGAGTGATCGGATACGATTTTTCGACACATGCGAATGTGTTGGATACAACACGACGTGCTACTACTCTTTTCTCTTCTACTAAAAAAAAAAAAAGAACTATTTCCACCTTTTGTTGCGAATCTAGATGTGGTGGCGCCTTTCTCATCCTTTTTTACCCCCGTTTTTTTTTCTCTTATATGTGTAGCGAGGATGCAGTGCATGTTGCAAGTGTGACATGCGCCGGCAATCGTCTGTCCACGCACCCTTCTCTCTCCTCCACACTGCTTCTGTGCGCATCGGGGCTAGTTAGCTTGTTTTTCTGTTTCTTTGCTTTCTATCCGCGTTTCTTTTCCTGTTTTTTTTCTTTTTTTAAAGGCACTCGCGCGTTCTTGCTGGGCCGGCGTACAGAGAACAGCGTAGGGGCATGGGTGGCGACTCGCGACAAGCGTTGGCCGAGGCGAGCGATTCCCGCAAGCGGCTGCCGCTGCCGCCGCCACCGCCACCTACCGTTGCGAATGCCGCTCCACTCAAAGTAATAGTTGCTGAGGAAGGGCATATAAAAGATGCTGATGTCGTGAACATTTCAAACAATAAACTGAATGCGGGCAGGTGGGTAAAGACAAATGGAGCCTCTACACGACGCAAGTCAACACCAAAAGTGGCGCAAACCCGGGTTACTATTGGCATGCGTTTGAAGCGGTGGATTATCACGGGTAGAATAGGCGCTGGTTCCTTTGGCGAAACATTTACGGCAATAGAAGAACCTAGAGGCCGCAGTGATGGCGATGAGGAAGGTGAAACGGACGACATTCTGGCGCTTTCTCATAGCAGCTTAACCTCCCCCAATCTAGTGGAGGTGTGTATTAAGGTAGAACAGGAAAATAAAAATGTCCTTCGAATTGAGGCGGCAGCCTTAAAAAAGATACAGCCCTGTCCTCAGGTGGTGCGATACCTGGGAAGTGGAAATACGGGAGGTATGAACTTTTTAGTGATGGAGCGACTGGGGCCAAATCTGGCAGAGTTGCGCCGTAATACACCTCTTGGCACCTTTACCCACTTCACGACTCTCAAGTTGGGTATATCATGCCTCCGGGCAATACGAGGTGTGCATCAAATGGGCCTCGTCCACCGTGACATTAAACCCTCCAACTTTGTTATGGGCTTGGGTGGAACGTCAGATCCGCGGACCTGCTATCTTATAGACTTTGGCTTAGCTCGTCGATATCGTCGTGTCAACGGGGATGTACGCCCACCGCGTGAAAATGCCGGTTTCCGTGGGACAAGCCGGTACGCTTCACTAGCCTCGCATCGTCAGCAAGAGCTTGGCCGTGTAGATGATATATGGAGCCTCTTGTTTATGCTTGTTGAATTCGCCACTGGAAGTTTGCCCTGGCGCAAGTATAAGGAGAAGGAAGAAATTGGTCGCTGCAAGGAAGAAATGATTGGGCCTGGACTAGTTCAAAATTTGCCTCGTGAATTTCGTCAATTTTTAGCGCATTTACAGACGTTGCAGTACGAGGATGAGCCGGGTTATGATTTTCTGCTTTCCCTCTTGGAACGCGCGATCGAACGCCGCGGCTACCCACCGGACAAAAAATTTGACTGGGAACACGAGGATGACACAGTCTATCAGATACATTTTCATGATAAGAGAAGCGTCACCAGGGAACTGGTTAGGGAGAATGACGCTGCGGTTGATAATTGTGCCGGCGACAGGGAAAATTATTTTCCCCAGCCTATAAGTTTTCGATATGCTTCTCAAAAGCCTCTGGATGTAACCTCCGTTCCTGCGCCTGAAGCAGTTAATATAAATAAATCTCGTTCTGCTCCCGCGGCACGTTTGATGCCTCCCTCACCGCGAACGGAAGAAGAGGCAGAAGAGCAAAGTCGTGTAGGCGCCAGTGACGTGAATGTTTCCGTCGGGATTTATAGAACCTGCGATTGTGACAACGGTAACCGCGCTCTGCAGGGAGCGGGGACATTGCCATGGAATGCTTCCAGTGCCACGCCTAACCCTCGACTTGCGACTATTGCTTCTGAGAATAAGAATGAGCGCGACGGTGCGGAGCATTCAAGAGGGTGCGATGCGAAGGAAGAACATGATAAGTTGGAGGTACTCGACCTTGAGGATGGGTTCTCGCCACGCGAGAGGGTGTCTCCTACGATACACGGTGATAAAATAGATAAGGATGCCCTTCTAGGAGACTCGCCGCTCAGGAATACAGCAGTAGGTGATCATTCAACACGGTTAACTTCCCCCAGACAACACGAACAAAAAGAACAAGAACAACAACAACATCAACAGGAGCATAATCCTCATGAAATGACGACTACGAAGAGAGTGTCCTTTGCTAGAGATGTAGACGTAGCTGAAGACGACGCAGCAGCCTCTCCTAGACGCGGAACAAGTGAACCAAAGAAGAAAAAGAAGCGTGTAAGTTGTGAATGCAATTTTATGTGAAACTGTTGTCTTGTAGTTAGTTTTTTTTTTTTGGGGGGGGGGGAATTGACAAGTAGTGTAGTGGAATGGGGTTAGTCTCCGTTTCAAAATGGAGGGAAGGCGCAGGTGCAAAGCTGGGCCACCCACGGGCTTTGTGGGCCCGTTTGTACAAAAAAAAACAGTGGGAAGAGAAATTAAAAGAAAAGAAAAGGTAAAGATGGCGGCGGAGCAGTTTTGTTTGTTTTTCCCCGTCTGCTCCCCTCTTTGTGTGTGTGTGTGTGTTGTCTAGTGCTATCATGCATTGCTGACATGCCGTGCTGGAGCACCTGCTTGTTTTTCTCTATTTTTTTTTGCTTTTCTTATACGGATGCCATTTCGGCACAGGCGTTGAGTGCTACGTCTGGAAGCACGACTCTCTTTGGTACCGGTGTGTATGTTTACTGTTGCTCCTTGTATTATATTCCGTGCTCTGCGGGGCGATGGTGCGTGTGTTTTCTGATCGGCCTTCATTGCCTTTTTGGGGCTCTGTTTGTTTTTCCTTTTGGCTCACTCTTTCTCTCTCAGACGCTTTCTCTCCCTTTGCCTTTCTATCTTCCGGTTCGCTCTTATAATATATATCCCTATATTTCTTGGTTTTGCAGGTGCGTGGCAAGAGGACGGGGCGGGTCCTGGTTGGGTTGGGGTTATACATTCCTCGACAACGAAGGGCGCCGTGGGTTTCACTAGATGTCCGACGTGGATCAGCTGATAGAAGAATTGTTTCCGAAGGTTTGCACCGAGCTAACATCTGGGGCGAGCAAACCTTCCGTCACGCATGAGCTGCCTGCCTCCAAGGGAGACTGGGACGCGAGCGACGAGGAAGACAAGAATGCCATCAGTGCAATAGTGCGGCCTGCGAGACCGCCAGCTTCAGTAAATCCCAGGAGGGAATCCAATTCCGGTCCCTCCAAAAGCTACTTTGATGAGAGTGACGAGGATGACGCTGAAGCCGAAGTGGCGGCGAGTTCCTCCTCCTTTGCCGTTCCATTTCCGTTTTTGCCTGCTAATGTTGGAAGCGCTTGCGTGGGAAAGTGTTTTGTTACAAACATGGGGGCAAAGCTTCTTCAGCACCCCACAATTGCGCAGCTGCTCTTTCTCGCACAAGGGGAGCACAGGAGCAGGTTGTCCCAGAAGCAGTTACTGGAAGGTAAAGGGGCTTTTTATGCAATTAATGCCAAATTTGGCAACGGCGCTTCTGACAAATATGCGGAGGATATGGCTTGTCATGGTGGCTGCCCGATAATGATCTGTCGACGGTGTAACTATGGCGTGGTGCGCCTTCAAGGAGCTGCTTGGCAGGATGGGGGAGGTACGATGGACTTATATCTGACCGTGCGTAATTATTACCCCGACTGGAGTAGACTGGTCAGCTCGTATCCAGTAGGACAGACGAAAAATGGGGAGCAAAACAGGGTCCTACGATCGAGTGTCGGATGTGCTGCGTACTGTTGCCAGTGCTCTTGGCTTACTGTGAGCTCTGAACAGGAGACAATTGAAACTCGCCCATCAGATTCCGCAGGATATGTAGGAAGAGAAGATTCTCGTTGCTTTGCCACTCAGTTGCCGCTGCCGCAAGAAGAACGGCGAAGGCCTCCACTGTGGGTATGTCGAGGGCATGTGCCACATTTCTGAATGCTTGAACAACAGCACATACATACTTGTGTTGGTCTTTGTTTGTTTGTGTGTGTGTGTGTGTGTATGTCTGTGTGTGAGTTGAAGCTGTGCGTAAGGGCTTTCTGGGCTCTTCGCTCCCTTTTCTATCCTACTCTCACACCCTTTAACATTTCTCTTTGTCGCTCTCTTTGTTTGCCATGCTAAAACCAAGTGCATTTATTATTACTATTATTTTTCTTCCTTCCATTGATGAATACACATTGTGTTGCTTCTGTACTCCTCCTCTGCTTGACGTGCTGCTCCGAAGCTGCTGAGCAACTGCAGCCAATGCCCCCAAAGAAGAAGTCGAGCATAAAGAAGAAGAAGGAGGTGCTGCCAGATCCCAAGACCATTTCCAACGGCGAGTGCAACTACTACATAGGCTCTTGGTCCTATTACCAAAACATCGACGCCGTCTCCGACATTGCACGCAAGGTGGTGGAGCAGCACACAACTCCTGATGAAGAAGTGGGAACTTTGCCGCGTACAAATATTCTCATTCCAGCTTGCAGGCTCGGGGATGCAAGTACCCACTATGCCGCAGAAGTGGTCGACAACATGTTTGTTGAGAGCGTGCCCCTTTCCTCTATGAAAAGTGCGGAACAGCTAAAGAAGGAGCCGAACATGGACGGAGAAGAGGCGCTAAAACCGGAGGAGGCCGTTTCAGCTCAGGAAGATGCGGATCCAGCTACTGCAGCAAATGAGCCCAACGTTGGCGCCTCACTGAGTTCCCGCGATGTGGTCCTGGAGGGAACAGTGCATATTGAGGGCATTCTGACACGCATCGTGGTTAAGCCCGATCTTCCAGAGCCTCCTGCTCCCCCGCCGGCGAAGCGAAGGCCCTCTGCCAAACGCAAGAAGAGCTCAAAGCTTATTGAAGAAGAACAGCAGCGTTTGGCTGAGGCGGCAAGGATTTACGAGGAGAAGGTTAATGCGGCCGTTGCGGCGGCACGGGAAGAGGAGGAATACCGAATGCAGTTCGCACATCCTAATCGTTGGCCCCACGTGGTATTCTCTAATATGAATTTTGCAGGTCAGGTAATAGTTTCTCATGCGCATGTGACATTCCGCAATTGCTGCTTCTCCGCAAGTGGTGTAGACGTTACCCAGCTTCTGGTGACGCAGTATTGTCAGGTTGAGTGCGTGAAGTGCACCTTCGAGTGTCCCGCAAAGGGTAGCGTGTACGGGTTTCCAAGGGGCAGGCTGATCTTTCGGAAGTGCCTCTTTACGGGTAGCTCAGACGCGTTTTCTTCAGTGGAGCTCGACAAGGGCAAGGATGGCAAGCTCCGGCCCAGGGCTGTGGGGCTGCACACCGACTGTTGCAGCGCACTGGTGGAGGAGTGTCAATTCACGGAGTTGGAAACTGCCATTCTCCTGCGTGGCTCACACCCTGACGGCACCGTCGAAAAGCCCGCGATGGTGGTGCAAAAGTGCAAGGTGGACAACATCTTCGGTACAGGTGTCGTTCTGGACAATGTGCGCGGGGTGGAGCTGACGAAGAACAAATTCTCAGGGTGTGAGTACTACTCGCTGGATTGTGTCAAGGGCAAAGATATCCGCGTGTTGCAAAACACCTTCTACTCGGAGGTCCGCGTTCAGGAGCGTGCACAGGTGAAGCTGATGCACAACAAGTGCGGAACTGTGCCCCTGGCTCTGAAGGAGGTTGACAACCCCAACTGGCAGCCGGTGTACTGAGGGCGGAAAGCATGTATGTAGGCACGACGTTGCGTGAGCCGAAACGCCCCCTAGGACATCTCGCTTGGGGTACAGGACGCCGTTCTTTGTGTTGGTGGCCACAACATGAGTCTCGGGGACTTTTGCAGTGCTGATTTGCTTCCCGCCTGCTAGAAGACGACTGCGAAAAGGACTGAAACATAATAACTGCCACAGAAGAAGAAGGAAAGAGGAAATAGAAAAGAAAAAGCAACAACATAAAACGAGCAAATGTTTTTTATATACGGTGTGATGCCTTGTATGGATAACGCTGTTTTGTTGTTGTTGTTGTTGTTGTTGTTGTTTTCCTTGTTTTTTCTTGTTTTGGTAGTTAAGGGGTGATGGGACTCGCCCTCCTACATGTAAAACATGGATTGAGAAGAGCGAGGAGGAAGAGGTGGTTTTCGTTTCATCCTTGCCGTCGTGAAAATGCCATGTTTCTGATTCACTGCATTATATTTTTCCGTGCATTTTCTCTTGCTTTACTTCGTATTGGCCCTCTTTGGCAAACGAGGCGGGGCAAAGTCTCTGTTCGATAACTATAGCGCCAGAGGCGGCATCCAGTGGGGCAGCCTAAACGCAGTATGCAGCAATTAAGAAGTGGTGAGGCCGCGAAGGTCGCAGGCTTCATTATTGCCTCCGCTGCGGCAGGAATCCTCCTCAGGAGCCTCCTCCTGCGTTATAATAGATGGTTTGAAAAGGACAGTAGGTCGGGGGGAAACTGTTTTTTTGGAAGTAAACCGAATCCCACAATTCGCCCGGTACCGGCTCTGAGAAGGCGCGGGTTTACAAGGGAGGAACTTGGGGAATACGATGGCGCCCGCAAGAGTGATATTTACATGAGTGTCAAAGGTGTGGTGTATGAGGTGGCACCGCAGCTTTACGGTCCAGGGCAGCCGTACCATGTCTACGCCGGGCATGAGGTCTCGCGCTGCCTCGCCAAATCCGACTTGACGGGGCAGGAGGCGAACAAGGATTGGACGCACGGCTGCAGCAAGGAGGAAATGGAGGCGTTGGATTGGTGGGCGAACAAGTTTAATTCGAAGTACCCTGTGGTGGGGTGGTTTGTGCCTGACGAGGACTTCTACACAGGCGCAGAAGATAACACCCATCCGTCTCTGTGAGTTTGTTCTGTCTGCTTTTTGCATTGGCGCGTATAGTATATATATATATATACATGCATGTATATAAATATACATAATGCTTTATATATTATACTATATTACATTTATATTTATATTTATACTAAAACTATTTATTCGTTCCACGTGGAGTGCCTTATTTATTAGTTGCCGGCATCGTTTTTGGTGGCCTTGAGCTGGATTGCGTGCCCCTCCCCCATCTGTGCCGCCGCCGCCGCCCTCATGGCGCCTACTGCTGCCCTGTTCCCCCGTCTTGTCTCTCATTCCCCCTACACATTTCGGCACAATTGCGGCGAAGGCTCAGTGGGGGCGACACACACGCACACACACACGAACGCACTCACATTGAGCGGTGGAAAAGCAAAACAAAACAGAACTCTCTCACAGTGCAGAACACACGCACAGGATAAGCCCAACGAGAAAGGTGCGTTTCTTGGGAAAGGGGACGTTTTCACACAAACAAAGCACAGTGTAGGAGGAAAAACAGGATTTTGGAGCAATCGCTGCGAGCCAGGTTGAATTCCAAAGGCCACTAGCAGTTGTTCTTGTTATTTTGTTTTTGTTCTTGTTCTTGTTCTCAGACCAAGTCATCGAAACGGAAAAAAGCAGAAGAAGGATTAAAAAAAAAAGAGGGCGAGCGCATACGCACACACTCACACAGAATTATTTGCCTGACTGTCGCAGTTAGACAACTATCATTAGCTGATGATACCCTCGGGAGGGGACCCATTTGGCAAATTTAAGGGTGGCGAGGAGGCTCCAATGCCAACTCAGGAGGCGCACCAGACTTCGACTCCTACCGCCAACGTAGCGAGGGAGACTGAAGAAGGGCAGTTGCCGTCATCAGAAAAGCCCGGTGAGCAGCATCTGCTCTTTAAACGAGACAGGTACACTACGCTTGCCACTTTTTTTGCCGGTGGGGTTGCTGGTGCCTGCAGTCGAACACTAACTGCACCGCTAGATCGCATCAAGATCATTGTGCAGGAGGGTCACCTGGTTACGGGATCATATCAAAGGATATATAGCTTTAAGTCGGCTCGTTTGAAGGATGTCTTCAATTTGATTAGGGCGGATGGAGGTTGGCGCGCGTTTTGGCGTGGTAATGCTGTGAATTGTCTTAAAGCGGGCCCAGAGTTTGCTATGGTATTTTCACTTCGTCGTTACTTTTTATCGTTGTACGAGGATGGCGTAGAGGAGGAGGAACGAAGATGGCTAGCGCTGACTTCGCAAGGGTTGAGTCCACGCAGCAATGAGCCTGACCCCTCCACACTCTCTGTGTTACCCCCGCCTTTTGGTCGCTATGGAACCTTGACCGGCGTTCCCCGCATATTGGTTAACTTTAGCATTGGGGCCTGCGCTGGATTTGGGGCCCAATTCGCACTGTATCCCCTAGAAGTCGTCAAGACGCGCATTGTCGTTTCAAAGATGACGGAATTTCGCGGTGGAATTCGCGAGGTTGTCGCGGCAACGTACCGCAAGGGTGGCATCGCTGAGTTCTATCGGGGACTCACCCCCAATATGGTAGGGGTCTTCGTTTATCGCGGGCTGGAGGTAGGAGTGTACTCCACCGCCCAACAGCAGATTATGATGTACAGAATGCAGAGGTATGGCATGAGCCGCCACGACGCAGCGCTTTCTTCCATGGAGACGGCTGGTGTGGGCATGGTGGCCTCCGTGATTGCGCAGACCGTGACTTACCCACTCAATGTCGTACGTACGAGGCTGCAGACGCAAGGCATAAACGGGCGTGAGATGAAATACAGCGGAATGATGGATTGCTTCATAAAGATGGTTCACGGGAAGGGAGTGGCATCGCTCTTCTCTGGACTCACGGCAAACTACTTAAAGGCGATTCCAGCGAGCACATGCATGTTTGTTGTATTTGAGCTGGTGCAGAAGTTGTTAGTTGGCGACGATTGATTCTTGATTGGTGGCAGTGAGGGGTAAAGTAGGGGTAAAACAGAATGAGCAAGGCGTGCGCGTGCATGCAACGAAATAAAGAAAGGGGAGCGAAAAGAAAAGAAGAAAGGTGGGGGGGGGGAGGGAATGGAGAGATGAAAGGAGTGGAGTTCTCTGTTGGCACGGGCGCAAAAGGAGAATGGGGCTGGGGGATGAAGAGGGAAGCGCACCACGTTGAAACTCTGGAGAGGAGAGGGGGGGGGGGAGGCGGCTTGAGTGTCTGTGAAGGAGGTGTCATACCGCTTGCTTCGGTGGTTATGGGCAGTTCCTCCCCCGCGCTTTGGGCATGCCTTATTATTAATATTATTTATTTATTAATTTACAGTATCGCCGCTCCTGCCGGGAGTAAAGGGGGGTCGCTCTTCAATTTCTTTCTGCACCGCCGCTTTCGCCCCAGCATGCGTTGCATCGAGTTCCGCAGTGGAAGGCGGTACAAAGACAGCAATAAAGCACGCACACACCGAAACAGACATACAAAAGGAGCCGCAAGAGCAAAAGACGGGAACAACAACAACAAAAAACAGACTAATTTATATATTATTAATGTGTGCGTAGACGTACGCGCAACTAGTTATATCTACATTATTCCTTATGATGCGAAATTGTTATACACCAATTCGAGCGAGCGAAAGACGACAAGGAGAAAAGAAGATGAAAATTCTTTTGGCGCTGAATTTTTTTTCTTTTTCGTGCTTGTCGCTGGCTTTTCTGACTATTGCAAGGGACAAGGTGTTGCCCTTGGGTTTCCTCTGTTTTCGTGTGCTTACACGCATCGTGACCGTTGTGGAAGGTGAAGAGGGAGGAGGGACTGGGCGAGGATAACTGCGCGTCGCTTGTCTCTGTACGACGAGGTCCTTGGTTTTTTCTTTTCTTTTTTCTTTTTGGACGGGCGGTGAGAAGGCATGGCAAACGAGCTGCTTTTGTGTGTGTGTTTTTTTGTTGCCTCTTTCTCTTTCTGTGTGTGTGTGTGTGTGTGTCGCGTGAGCCCGGTCTGAGGCCGCTGCAGTTGGTGAAGAAGTGTGTGTGCGCAGTTCCGGCAGCTCATGCAGCACGTTTTCCTCGTCAATGAATCTGCACCTCTTGTTCTTTTTTGTTTGTTGTTTTCCCTCCTCTTGCATCATGTCTCTTTACGTTGTCACAGGAATATATTTCTCATTTCCCTTTTCCTCCGAATAAAAGAAGAACAGTTCCCTCTCGAAACAGGGAGACCACGTATTTTTGGCGTCTTTTTTTTTATTATTGAGTTTCTCTGATCTTGCGGCTTCTGCTGTTCCTTTTTGCTCTTTTTCCTCCAGGAGGCGACTAGGTTACAGGATCCGCATTGAGGCCAGCACGACGCAGCGCAAGGGAATAGGGCGCAGGAGTCGCGAGCTGCGGCCAAAGACCTCCCTAGGATGCCGCGACGTGAGCATACAACTCAAGAACGTGCAATCTCGGGGACAGCAGCCGATCCGCCAAGAGAGCCAGGCAGGGCCGCGCACGACGGGGCCAACGAGGATGGGTGGCAGACGGATAGCCGCGAGACTGAGGGTATAAGTGAGGAGATGTCGGGCGGCAATTTGACTCTGCAGGTGGAAGACGGGGAGGGGGATGATGTTGAGGAGCTCGTGAACGGGGCGGGGATCAGGCTGGATGAACCGTGTTCAAACTTGCCTTTACTACGGGCGCAGGAACTTAAAATTATAGGTCGTTCTGTGACCTTTCTTGGCGAGACAACCGCTGAGGGTCAACGGGTGCTACTGCATTACGAGGGAGTGGTAACAATGATAACGAAGGACACTGTGGTATTGCTTCAGGTTCGCAGGTACACGAAAGAGGACTTTGCAAAGTATCAAGAGAAGCTGCACGCAGCGAAGAAGGCGCAAAGAAGTGAGGCTGAGGGGGGGAGGCATCGTGGCAGGGATCGCCATGGGTCTGAAACGGCGCTTGAGGGCGCGGAGATGATGCAGTTTTCGGCGGCCAGTGAATCCAATAGTAACGGGGAGGTGCCTCATGGGGTGAATGGAGTTGATTGCAATATCCTCGTACACCGAGACTCACGAGAAAATGCAGAAGAATCGGAGCCAGAGCCGCCGCTGACGCGTCAAAACCGTCTACTGGGAGCGGGAACGATGGGACCGGTGCCATACATGACTTTTTCGCGCCGTCGTATTCATGACGTGGTTTTTGGGCAGGATCCACCATGTTCATTATACTCCATTTTTCAAAACCCCTCAAGGAAATTTTTTGATATGCAATGCTTACGAATGTTTGTCCGGCGCTATCTCGTGCATACGAGCCAGAGAAACAATCCACGTAACATAAACTTGCGCCCTTTTATTGAGTGGAGATGCAACTGTAAAGGGATCGATGCTGGATTGCTTCTCAACACTGCCAAGCAGGAGTTAGCATACCTTATTAAGACGGAACGCGAAATGGCAAAGGCCGCCGAACGTTCGGCCATTAGTAGAAGAAATCTTTTTAGCAACTATGAACCTTCTCATCGATTATTCCGTTCAACGGGTATCCTTTTCCTCACACGCATTCCTGCCCAAACATTTTCTCTTGCTATACTTGAGATGTTTGTGGCACTCATGCTGCTTGGCTTTTCAGTGTACTCCTTCGCCACGGCACCAGCTGTAGTGATATACGGTTACGTGAAGGATTATACATTTACCGTGACACTTGCTGGCGTGGTTAGCCTGTTATCAAGCGGTATGACGGCACTTCATTCTCTTCGAATGCGCTTACCACTAACGTTTTCTATTTACACAACACTTCGTCTTGTAGCTGCAACATTGGCAATTGCTCTGAATACGATGACGTTAGTCATGATCGCAGGAGCAGTGAGCTATTCCCACATACTTGGATACCTTTACCGAATTGCGCAAGAGTCAACCGAGCTGTGTGGCTATTACTCATTCCATAACTGTACGGGGTTTGATACTGAATGCGGAGTAGACAACCCGTCTCCTCTGTGTATGCAATCGTGGTGCCCATCAAATCGCACCCAGACTTGCTCCCAACCCATCACATCTACTTTGCTTCGCATTTTTGTTCCCTTCATTGTGATTCCTATGGTGTTGGTAGCCTTGTTCCTAATTGATCACCTCTTGCACTACCGCCTTTTCCAAACATCGAGGTTGATGATGTCACGCATGTAGCAGTTGAACCAACTCGCCCCTTTCCGCATGGCTTCACACCACCCATGCGCAATGAGCGTGGAAACGTGTCTGGGTTGAGAAACGGACAAAAAACAAACGACAATAATAATAGCGAAGGGATTCTCTTTGACATCTATATCTGCCGTGGCCAGGCGCCCGTGCACTCATATAGTCTTGCAGCTGTATCTCTGAAGATGTTGAACGTGACTGCACCCTGCCACATGTTGGGAGTCCGCCAAGAAGAGAAACAGTGAACAATCATCGACCGGAATAGGTGATGCTGTTAGCGTTAGGAGAGATGATAAAAAAACAATAAAAATAAGAAGAAAAAAAGTTGAACGCGAACAAAAAAAAGAAAACAGGAACAAAAAAAACTATATATCTTTTTTTTTATATGCCATTGAGGTTGTATGGGTGGGAGCAGGGAGAATAAAGGGAAAATGAAGGTAGGCAGAAAAAAATGCTTCCATTTAGGGGAAATTTGTGCCGGTTCTTTATTTCTCTCTTTTTATTTGACGTGGGCTTTCGTGCGTGTCTCCTACTGCGTGATTTTCAAGTGTAAAGCTCAATAGCTCAAGATAAATTACTTCTCGCTCTGGCTATATCACACGCTTGGTGGACGTTTGTTTGTTTGCTTGTTTTACTCGCCATTTTCAGCCGGATTTGGATTTCCGGTAGATGTCTTTACATTTTTTTTTGTTCTTTGTTGTTTCTGCTTCTGCAAGTATGTGTGCATGTGCTTTTGCGCGCGTGTGCGTGTCTTGTTAGTCCTGTGACGAAGTTGTGGGCGCCCTTGAAGTTCTTCAAGCAATATATACAAGTATATGTGCCAACAACAGTTTTTTTTTTCCTTCTCGCTTTCTTGATTTCTTTCTGTGCGTCGGGAGGCGAGGTCACCGTTTACAATTGTGCCTATGAATGCTCTTTCCCCACTGAGGTACTATTGGTTGTTATTGTTCTTCGGGCTTTACGCTTGACTGAACCAACGGATGAAGTGTTTCCCTCGCTCTATTTTTCCATTTTTCTTTCTTTCTTTCATTTCCTCATTTGATAGCTGTTGTTGTGTTTTGCTCTAGGTGACTGCATTTGCAGGTTCTGTTGGTAAATAGTGCAAATTTGTCTCTGTGGGTTGCGACGTTCGTCCAATGAAAGTGTTAGAAAAGAGTGGGAACGCCGCAGAGGTTGTAGCCTCCGTCTTGTCCTACTCCATCTGCAGCATGAGCATGATTATTCTGAACAAGTTAGTCATGTTCACGTATGGGCTAAACTTTCCTATGGGGCTACTTCTCATTCAGAACTCCGGTGCGGTTCTTCTTGTGTCATTTGGAAAGTATATGCGTTGGCTTCATTATCCGGACTTCAGTCTGGAGATAACGAAGAAGTGGATTCCGCTCACATTTCTCTTCGTGGCCATGCTGTGGACATCCATGAAAAGCCTCCACACAATGTCTGTGTCTATGCAGACAATTATAAAAAACCTTGCCGTTATCTTCACCGCCTTTGGGGATTCAAGGTTTTTCAAAAAACGTGTCACCCCGATTATGTATTTTTCCTTTTGTCTTATGATTTTGGGAAGTTATATGGGAGCCAAAGGAGACCAATGGGTGACCGCGTGGGGTGTCTTCTGGACGTTTGCCAACATCGCAGCAACGGTAAGCTACACATTGTATATGAAATTACTTTTGGGGGACGTAAGCGCGCAAATTGGACGGTATGGACCTGTGTTCTACAACAATTTGCTTTCGCTGCCGTTTATTTTGGCCGCGTCCCTCAAATCCTTCCCTGACATGCTAAGCGGGTTCTCCGAGGCCACTTTCGGCGCACTCTTCGCCGTCGTTGCAATGGTTTTCGCAGGGTCAGTGATGACCTTCACAGTCTTTTGGTGTATGAAGGAGACGTCGCCCACCACGTTTAGTGTTGTTGGCGCCGTTAACAAAGCCCCACTGGCTATCATGGGGATGATCGTGTTCAAACAGTTTCCAACTGCTACCGGTTACCTGGGCATCTTTTTGGCCCTTGACGGGGGGCTCATTTACGCCTTCACGAACGTCTCTCATGACGCTAAGGCACAGGAACACCGCTCGGATCTTGGCTTATCCCCCAACGCAAACCGAGAACTCGATGACGGGGCTGCTTCAGCCACAGAAAAACTTAAAAACGTTGTCTAGCTCCCTTCGTGATCGAGGTGAATTTATTGGCCCACTCGAGAGAATTTGTTCATGACTTTATCTTTCTGACAAGGCGGGTGAGTCGTGGGGGGCAGAGCCCGAGGCATCGTCGTTTTAAAGCTGTGAAACCATCTAAAGGGCTAGTTGAGTTTTTTGTTTTGTTTTGGGGGCGGTTTTTGTTGGTGTTAGAGTTGTGGCGTGAACT